ACACACACACAAAATATCTGTCAAGAATCAAGAATATGAAGCTGACCTTAAGCATTACCAGGTAATCATCATGACGCTGAATCTGAAGAAGGTTAGCCAAAGCCATTACACCAGCCTTAAAATCAGGATTATTAACTAGAAAAAATTTAAATGGAAACTTAGAGCTCTGCAAACATATAATTAGACAGATATGTAAACATAAATTTACAAGAAACATTTTGAATTTTCCATTAACAAATCTCAATTTTTAAAACTTCTGACTGGAGCAGTGCAGGGGCATCAACAACTAGGCAAAATGATAAGATTAATGGATTTCTTACTAATCAGCCAAACTGAACAATCCAATAAATAACTAAATTAACTCATAACTTTTTCTGCAAGGCCCATTTATGCAGCACTTTTAATTAACATTTCTTCCCAAAGCTATTCATTTTAATACATAGATCCCTTCAATGGACAGTTTTCCCAAAACCTTTTCTCTAAGCAGCAGCTCTCGAGTGTCCAAGCAGCTTATTAATTCACAAGAATAACTCAAATTATAGGTCACAATGAATCAGTGAAAGAATTATTTAACGTATTATTATAATGTAAGTAATTAGACTCTTTATACGTTTTAAAGCAGAATTACTAAAAGACATCTGGATTTAAATAATGAAAAATTTTACCACTTTCTCATAGTGTCACATTAGATTAGAAAAAATGTTATGTTACCAGGAAGCAAACAATCATCACCATGATTAAATACAAATAAAAATCTCCACACTACTATGAGAAGATCAAAGAAAAGCATTTCAATATTCAGATATTCAATTATAAGAGGAAGGAGCCAGCACATTGTAACTGACAATAAAAAAAACCATAGAGAATAAAATGTCCTCACAAATGCTGCCTGCATGAAGTATTTACTAAAACCAAGTAAACACAGACTTCATTTTAGAAAATAAAAATCATTTAGGAAACCAAAAATGTTGATCATTATTATGCATTTACATAGTCATCTCCCCTTATCCAAAGGAGATCCATTTCAAGACCCACACTGGATGCCTAAAACTGGGACAGTACCTAACCCTTTATATACCATGTTTTTTATATATATTTTGTTGTGTTGTTGTTTTTTTAAGAAGCTTTTTACAGCTTCTCTTTGGCATATCCAAATTGCCAACATCATGTCTCATGTTTTGGGGCCATTAAGTAGCATAAAGTTTTCCTGAACACAAACACTGGGACACCATGACAATTGATCTGATAACCCAACGGAAACTAAGTGATTACAGTGTGGATATGCTGAGCAAAGGCTTGATTCATAAGCTAGGCAAAACAGTGCAAGACTTCACCATGTTACTCAGAACGGTGTGCAATTTAAAGTGAATTGTTTATTTCTGAAATTTTTCATGTATTATTTTCAGAAAGCAGTTGACCACAGGTATCTGAAAGCATGGAAAGTGAAAGTGCGAATAAAGAGGGTCTACTGTACTTACCATCCAAATTGATCAATGGCTCTGCATTTTTAGCTGCATTGTCAGCATTTTTTGTATTATCAGATACCGAGTCCTTGTATTTTTCAGCTGAAAAATAGGCAAAAATGCAATTTGTAAAACTGCAACTTAAAACAATCATTGTTTATTTACTGAATCTGAGCCAAACTGGTTATTATAAAACAACTCATCCAATCAAAATTATTTTTGCTATTTAAAAAATCTAGCAGAAGACAATGTGATTATAACTTTCTAATTAATCTAAAATGATTTCTGAATCCTTACACAAGGATCTTTTCAATAATATCTTTAAAAGTAATATATATCAAACATTATTTAAATCAAACATGTCAAACTCACGGCCCGTGGGCCGCATGCAGCCCACAATGAATATTTTTGCGGAAGAAATGCTTTAATAAAAAATTCGTAACTTAATTTTTATAATATCTTGTTATACATTATTAATAATGAACTACAACATTCAATAATGACTGATTACTATAATCATGTTGCATTCATTTCCCTTACACGCCTTACACGCAGGCGCACCATTTCTCTCTACTAATACTCGCAGTGAATATTTTAGCAGCCAATTGCCACGTCACTAGTCTTGGACTGACTTGTTTGGTGTGTGCAACAGGAAATATTTTGCTTTTGGAGAACCAAATAAATAGATTTGCGTTACGCTTATTAATTTGTGCAGTTATTCAGTGTCTGGTAAGTTAATGTTCAAGAAAAATTATTAATTTTTATTAAAATGTCCTATCATTTTATGTTAACGATTACTCATTTATTTCAGCTCTTTGTATTCAGCATGTCTCTATCGAAATAAACCTACGTTTCTATGAAAACTGAAGCTTTTGTTTTTTTGCGGCCCACATAAACTTAAATCTTGTTTATTTGGCCCATGTTAGTTAGCCTTTGAGTTTGACATGCTTGATCTAAATGCTTGCAAACAAAGTATGCTTTCACGGCTTCCTCTAAAACTTGTAGGGGTAAGGGTAAATTTAAGTTACGTGAGATTAAATGCAAACAAACTTACTTTTTGTAAGTTTCTTCCCAAATCTTTTGAAAGCTGTACATAGAACACAAAAACTTTTCTTTCTAAAAAAATCAGCACTTCAAATAATACACCATCATATACAAACCTAAACCTATTTTATGGAAACTTGAAAGCCAGAATTCCAAAGGTAGAGTTTGCAACTTTTACTTGAAAAATATTTAATATACTGAATGTAATGTCCAAATGCCATCTTTTGCTATAATGCTTAGATGATTTGCTATTGAAACGAGAGAAAACAAAAGCATTAAGATTTAAATCAGACAGAAGATAGCTTACAGGAGCTCCCACTGGCCAAATCTGGGATAGCGTAAATATCAAGATACACTATTAGCCCTAACCGGTTTGGCTCAGTGGATAGAGGGTCGGCCTGTGGACTGAGGGGTCCCAGGTTCGATTCCAGTCAGGGGCATGTACCTTGGTTGCGGGCACATCCCCAGTGGGGGTGGGCAGGAGGCAGCTGATCGATGTTTCTCTCTCATCGATGTTTCTAGCTCTCTATCCCTCTCTGTAAAAAAAAAATCAATAAAATATATATTTTTTTAAAAAGATACACTATTAGCAAAAAAATATTGTAAGCCATTGAGTAAAATAAGAATCCACATATACAAACTAATCTAAATAAACAAACAAACTGGAAAGACAGGAAAAGTTCCTCATTAAAAAGCCAACAAGTAAATGTAGAAAGAATGATGGAATTACAAAAACATCATTTGGCAATCATCATCTGCATAATTGACTCAGATGAGACTCATCAAATGGAGCTAAACCTAGATGAAAAAGTTTGAGGAATAAAAGCATACTGACATTATCTCAAAGTATCTCCCAACAATAAACTTATTTATTACAAAGGGGAAATAGTAACTTTAGAATGGAGAAGCCTTAACCATGTGATCAAAGTAATAGCACCAGTAATAGGGACATATTACTAACACATGCCTCCTGATAACGTGCACTTAAAAGAACAAAACATCACTTCTGTGTTCTTAACAGAAGTACAAACCCTGACTCTAATCATGAGGAAACATCAGATAAACCCAAACTGAGGAACAGTCAATAACCAGTTAACTGCCACACGTCCAAAACTGAAATCATCCCCACACAGACACTTATGACATACAAAGGGTTAAATATACGACAGTCTCATGAAGCACAAATAAAGAATGAGGAATTTTTCCAGATTATAGGAGACTAAAGAGACATAACAACGGAATGCAACACATGATCAAAGAATGAATTTTTGGTTTTGTATGAAGAATATTATTGAGCCCAGCCAGTGATTGAGTGTTGACCTATGAACAAGTCAGGGTTCGATTCCCGGTCAGGGCATATGCCCAGGTTGTGGGCTCGATCCTTAGTGTGGGGCGTGCAGGAGGCAGCCGATCAATGATTTTGTCTCATCATTGATGTTTCTCTCTCTCCCTCTCTGAAATCAGTAAAAATATATTAACAACAAAAATATATTGAGACAATTTATAAAATGTGAATAACAGCTATAGAAAAGAGTAGTGAATCAAAGTTTATTGCCCGATTTTGCTAACTATCCTGTAGTTATGTACATTTAGGAAATGCACATTAAAGTACTCAAAGGCAAAAGAGAACCACCTACAACTTAGTATCAAATGGTTTAGAAAAAATTATGTATGTATATTATATATAGAGAGAAGGACAAGGCAAATGAATTAAATGTTAATATTTACAGAATATGAGTATGAGAAAATTTGTTGTATTCTTGCAATTTTTTGTAAATTTTAAATTATGCCAAAAAAAGTTAAAAGAAAAATTTAAGTCTGATTTTAATCACTTTAACTGACAAGCTAACAAAAACCTTTAAAAGTACTAAAGCACAATACAAATTTACAATGGTTTCATCAAATAAGGACAAACATTTTAAATAATTAAAAGTCAAGAAGAATGCAAGGAGTTAATGTAAAACCACAAAAATACAACAGTGCCTTCTACTGATAAGGGACAGTACTACCACTTTAGCCCTTTTCCCCAAAAAGTCTGTTCTTACAATTCTGAATTTTAAGATTACACAAAAACTTGTTTTCTAGTTTAGACTTTTAATATACTTTTGATATAATTTACCTTTCAACTATAATTCAGCTAAAATTTCAAATAAAATTCAAGTATAAATTTCAATATAAAAAATTTACTTTATTTCAGATCGACATCAGTGTATTTCTTTATTAAGTAAAAAAATATCATGCTAGCTAGCCCAAGCTGGCATTGCTCAGTGGTTGAGCATGGACCTATGAGCCAGATCTGCAGGCTCAATTCCTAGTGTGGGGTGTGCAGGAGGCAGCTGATCAATGATTTTGTCTCATCATTGATGTCTCTCTTCCTCCTCCTCCATTCCTCTCTGAAATCAATAAAAATGTATCTGATATCTATAGTTCCTGGTACATAGGTAATCTAAATTAAAGTATTATAAAAATGGACAAATGTGAAATAAATACAGTAAAAGTAAAGCAGAAATAAATTGAAATATGACTACAATTTCATTTGGGAATAGCTGACATACACTTTTGAAAAGCTAGAGAATACTCTGTTAAAATTAACATAGAGTTACCAACTCAAAGCAGAATAAAGACTTCCCTAAAGGTCCTAAAAATCAACTAATGCCACCACGGCTTCTGATTACAACATTTATTCATATGTATTTTCATTTTAAACTAAAATTCAAACTGGAAAAAAAAGGGTTGGAGCTTTTAATATTTCTGCCATAAAGTTTCTGAAATTTAAGTCTGGAGCTGGTTGGTGCTCTGTATTAGAATATGTGAACATTCAAATACTGTATTTGCCAAACATTAAAAGTCTTCTATTATATGCAAAGAAACAGAATCATGACTGCCTACTCCCTTCCAAAGATGCCCATATTCCCAATTCCTTAAACTATGAATGTTACCTTACATGGCAAAAGGACTTTGCAGATGTGATTAAATTAAGGATTATCCAGGTAGGCCCAATGTAATCACAGCACCCTTATAAGAGGGAGCAGGATGATCAGAGATGTGACAATGGAAATAGAGTTAAAGAAAGACTGAAGACGCTATGCTGTTAGATTTGAAGATAAAGGGACAACGTTAAGGAATACAGGCAACCTCCAGAAGATAGGAAAGACAAAGAAAGAAATGGATCTTGCCCTAGATTCCCGAAAAGAATCTGTCAACAACCTGACAGTAAAACAAATGGCTGGGCTTCTGACCTCCAAGACTGTAAAATAATAAACTGTGTTTAAAGTCACTGAGTTTGTGGTAATTTGTTACAATAGCAATAGGAAACTAATACAGGTACAGTACCATGTAGGAAGTAAAATTGAGTAAGAGCTTACAATTTAGTGGGGCAAATAAGACATAAGTCAAAATGGAAAGTGAATGACTTAAAAGGTATAGAGTTAAAAACTATGAAAGTTCAGAAGGAAATGCTAATTGGTATTTGTGCTGGATCTTATAAGGATGAGCAGGATTTAGAATGTGTAGAGAATAGAGTGAAATGGAATATTAGTCAAAGGAATATGTAA